CGAGTCCAGCCGCGCTTTCGCCAGCACGGTCATCGGTGGGTCATCTGCCTCGGGGAGCTGAGAGCCTTCGGGGTGCCGGGACCAGGGACGGTCCCCGTGCCAGCGGGGCTGGCTCTCAGCCCCGCTGCGGGGTGTTTTTGCCAGGCGGGGAGCTGTACGCTGGCCTCACCGCAGATTTCCTGGGCCGTGATCCCGGCATCTTCCGCAGCACCGGGACCCGCTCTGCCTTGCGCACCGAGGTGGACCAGCGCTTACTCAACGGTATCGGCCCCCCTCTGACCCTCCATCCCCCCCACTGGGCTAATGCTGGGGACCGTGAGCCTTGCGGTGGCTGGGGCACCCGCTTGCCACAGTGCAGCATCCCCCGTGCTGGGCACAAGCAGGGACAGGCACCGGGGCAGCGTGGTCTGGGGGCCCACCTAGCCCTGGTGTGGTGGGGGGGTCTGGAGGCAGTGACTGTGCTCTCTTGCCCCACCTGATGCGTCTGGCTCTCGCTCGTAGACCCCAAATTTGTGGCAGCCCACTTGATCCCAGACAACAATGATCGGGACAACGACAAAGCCTATTTCTTCTTCACGGAGAAGGTGGTGGAGGCAGACAGCAAGGAGCATGCCATCGTCAGCCGAGTGGCACGGGTCTGCGTGGTGAGACGCTGGTGGGGACTGTGGGGAACAGGGATGCGCCAAGTCACAGCAGTGGCCCTGATGCCCCCTGTCCCTGCAGAACGACGCTGGAGGCCAGAGGGTGCTGGTCAACAAGTGGAGTACCTTCAACAAAGCCCGACTGGTGTGCTCTGTCCCTGGCCCCGGTGGGATTGACACCCACTTTGATGAGCTGGGTAAGGGGTGCATGGAGTTGGAGACCTCACCAGGGCTGGTTCCTTGGTTGGGGTCTTTGGGAAGCTCCTGGGCTTCCAAGAGAAACCCCACAGCTTGCGTGTCTCATCCCCAGAGGATGTCTTCTTGCTGAGGACAAAGGATGGGAAGAGCCCGGAGATCTACGCCCTCTTCAGCACCATCAGGTGGGTGGTCCAGCCCCAGCCTCTGGGGTCATCCAGCTGCAGCAGCCCATGACCTGCCCTGTCACCGTCGCCACGTGCCTGCTGGCTGCTCCCCAACCTCCGCCAGCTCTGCCCCGGTCCATACGGAGATGTTGGTGCTCCCATGCCACCGACCGATGCTGCAGGCACCGAGCATGGCTCTGTTCAGCCCATTCACTGTCCCCTCTCAGCCATGTCTTCCAGGGCTCTGCTGTCTGCGTGTACCGTATGGCTGATGTCCGGGAGGTCTTCAATGGGCCCTTCGCCCACCGGGAGAGCCCCCACCACCAGTGGGGTGCCTACGAGGGCAGGGTGCCCTACCCACGGCCGGGCGTGGTGAGTGACTCCCCGGACCTCCGGGTCCCCTCTGCTCCTCCGATTGCTCTTGCAGGGGGTGGCATGGGGCTGATCCTCCATCTTCTCACCTGCTGGGATGGGCTCCCTATGGGACCCACCCAGGGCTGGCTAGGCACCAAGGTCTGGCAGAGGGGTGGAGAAGATGGATCCCAAACTGGAAGGTGGGAGGGACCCAAACCAGCTCTGCTGAGCAATGGAAGGGGAAGGAGGGATGGGTGCTGGGGTGGCTGGGCTGAGCTGGTCCCCTGTCATCCCCGCAGTGTCCCAGCAAGACCACCAACCAGCCCCGGCGGCAGTACGGCACCACCAAGGACTTCCCCGACGACGTGCTGCACTTCGCCCGCGCTCACCCCCTCATGTACAAGCCCGTGTACCCCCGTCACCGCCAGCCCCTCCTAGTGAAGACTGACCTGCCCCACCGCCTGCGCCAGCTCGTCGTGGACCGCGTGGAAACCGAGGATGGGCAGCACGACGTCCTCTTCCTCGGGACAGGTGAGCGGCAGGAGGGGCGGGCAGGAAGGGGGCCTGGGGGGCTACCGGTGGGCACGCTGCTGTGGCAGGCTGCTCACAGCTCCATCCTCCTCCTCCTCCCTGCAGACGTTGGCTCGGTGCTGAAGGTGGTGGTCCTGCAGAAGACAAGCTCGGCCGTGACTGAGGAAATTGTCCTGGAGGAGCTGCAGGTTTTTAAGGTGCCATTTGCTGCCCTGTGTTTAAGGGCAGAGGGTAGCTAGGGTTGTTTTTACCCTCCCCAAATGCATTCCGGTGTCGCCCCAAAGCCCTGGTGGCTCCAAACGAGCCAGGCTCTCCACGGCCAGGTTTTCGCCAGCCTCACGCCCGCTCACCTCCCCTGCAGGTGCCTGTGCCCATCACCCAGATGGAGATCTCCGTCAAGCGTGTGAGTACAGCCACAGCTCGGCCATGGGGCTGGGGACAGGGCAGGTGACCAGGAGCGACTGAGCTGTTGTCACCAGCCTCTCAAAGCCCGCATGGTGCTTGCCCCGTGGGGTCCTGGCTCGGGACCCTGGAGGCTGTGCCCATGGGGGACACCAGCATCACCATCTCGGTGCTGTTCCCCCAGCAAACGCTCTACGTGGGCTCCAGCCTGGGGGTGGCCCAGGTACGGCTGCACCGGGGTGAGACCTACGGCACTGCTTGCGCCGAGTGCTGCCTGGCCCGGGATCCCTACTGCGCCTGGGACGGCACCGCCTGCACCCACCACCAGCCCTCTGGCAAGCGCCGCCATCGCCGCCAGGACGTCCACCATGGCAACCCTGTGCACCAGTGTCTAGACCAGAACCTGACTGGTGAGAGACTGGAGGGAGTTCATGGGGCTGGGGGGCTCCTCCAGGTGCCCTGAGATGTCCCGGCATCCACAGCCTTTGGCGCGCAGAGGGGCTTGCGGCTATCCTGGGTGGGCTAGGGCACCTTTGTCTCCTCATCCCGTAGACCGAGGGGTGCCCCAGGAGAAGGTGGGTGCTGCTGGGGCTGGGGTCTGTACCTGGGGAGAGGGGGAGGAGGGGGCTGAAGCCACACGGTGGCCCGTGGGGGGCTGACAGCTGGATGCGTGGAAGCCTGGCTCTGCCCTCCCCGTGAGCCCGTGTCTGTCTTCGCCCCAGTGGATGATTTGGAGAGCGCTGAGCAGAAGGTGCTCTACGGGGCGGAGGACAACAGCACCTTCCTGGAGTGCACACCCCGGTCCCCGCAGGCCAGCGTGCAGTGGTTTGTCCAGCGGCCCCCCGACGAGCAGCGGGATGAGGTGAGGCTCCCCCCGTGCCTGCCTTGCTGCCCGCGCGCGAGGACAGGGGAGGGACGTGG